TAAAATCTTTCATAGTTGACAAATATTTCAAATATAACAAGGTAGAAGATTCACATTCGTAACTCATAAATCATAACCCCAGTGTAAAAATTATAAAAGAAAAGAAGTTAAGATTTTCAATACAATTTAGTGTAAAACAAGAAATCATATATATACAAATAATAATAAAGGAAATATAAATTAACTCCAGTAAAGGTGGCAGTGCCTCCTGGTTAGGAATTAATTTATACTCCCAAATCATATAATAAAAAAATATAAAAAAAATGTACATCTTGGTCTTTTATCAAGAACGTTCAAATTACAATTCTTAACATATATTTTCCTTGAATTATACATGTTATCTACATTATCTCTTCGTTAGAAAATTACAAAAGAAGAGAAACTAAAGTTATTAAAACAATAACATATTAAACTAAGCTAACTATGCCCCAATGTCACATCCTATCAGAGCATGCCCAATTGAAGCCTTTAAGCCTCATCACCAACATCCTCATGATGCTGATCACCTGCAACATAATTTAAACATATACAAGAACAACAAGGGAGTGAGAAACATCTCACTCAGTTTCAGGTGCAGAAATAAAGGCTAGATAGCACTCACACACACAACAAATATAAGTCACTTATAAATAATACACATACATCATCAATATCACATATATATTCATTTATCATGCAATGATGTCATGATCTTGACTTATAAATGCATGCATGTGGCGCCATAAGGAAGTTTCACATATCATCACTGGTGACCCTAAGGCACACCTGGTTACATCACTGGTGACCCAAAGGTACACCTGGTTACATCACTGGTGACCCTAAGGTACACCTGGTTACAAGTTACATCACTGGTGACCCTAAGATACACCTTGTTAGCATGTTACATCACTGGTATGCGGCCTCAGCGGCACACCTGGAATAATATATGCATATGATGCATGTCATACCATCATAATCTCATTGACTCAATATTTAACTTTTTACATGATTTCATTTAGTACATCATGTCCTCATTTGTCATAGTCTCATAATCATAGTTTGTCTCAATAGTCAATTCTTAGGTCTCATGTCATTTGTCCATATTTCACATGGTCATGTCATCAATACTCCTCTTAAGGTCCGCATAGGTATTCACAGAGATCCAGAGAGCATTCTTATTCATATTAAAACTCATTTATTATTAACATTAATTTCATATTCATTTATTACTTTCAACAAAGAACAAGGTAGAGTAAATAGAAAATCAGACAGAACAACGGCACTTTCAACAAAAACAAAGTAGAATAAATAGAAAATCGGACAGAACAACGGTACCTTCAACAAAAACAAAGTAGAGTAAATAGAAAATCAAACAGAATAACGACAAAGGATTGGGGGCCAATCCGACAAACAACTATCCAACAATTATCCCTACACCCCTGAGCGAGGTTCTCACTCCCCCCCTTACCTGGATAAGCGGAGCTGAACTTAGGCAGAGCCTCCTCCTCTGGATTCCCTCTTCCTTTCTCTCTCTCTTTCTTTCTCTTTCTTTCTCTCTCTCTCTCTCTCTCTTCTCTTTCTCTCTCTAAAATTTCACTTTCTTCCTCTGTATAAAAAATTTCACCCCCCTGCCCCTATTTATAGGCAATCTGACGCACCCGGAACGGCCCGTACTGATTTCGGAACGGCCCGTTCCGGATCCTTCAAATCTGGGCAAAATTTGTAACTGGAACGGCCCGTTCCAAAATCGAAACGGCCCGTTCCCAAAAAACCAGAACGGCCCGTTCTGAAATCAGAACGGCCCGTTCTCAATCTCAGAAGAACGGCCCGTTCTCCTTCCGGAACGGCCCGTTCTCCATACCGGAACGGCCCGTTCCA